TCAGGCCACCCAAAATCAGGGAAGGCACTTTAGGTGACAGTGAAAGAGCCCAGTGGTCAAGGTACAGACCTGATCTAGGGGAGTGTGTGTGTGTTTGTATGCATGCATGAGTGTACCCTCACCCACTGAGATTGGCTAGGTATTTACTTCCCCAGCCTGGATGCTAAGGAGCTCTGGCAGGTGGTGACTTTAGTTGGACTCTGCTGTGAACAGCTGAGACCCACAGAGATGGGGACTGGGTCCTCAGGGACACATCACCAGTCTTTCCTCTGGAATTTGGAAAGAACAGGACTGAAAAAGCTTCTTTTTTTTACATTTGTTTCTTTTTTGGATTGATTATTTTTTATGATTTTATTTTATCTTTGTTGGCTTATTAGCTGTGCCTCTGTCATTTTAGTGGTTGCCTCAGGATTTATAGTATGTATCTTAACCTTTAAGTAATATTATGTCACTATAATCAATAGTGTGAGATCCTTACGACAGGATTCCTCCATTTTCCCTTTCCCAGTGTTTGTTTTATTTGTGTCATATGTTTAATTTTTACATGAATTATAAACCCCACAATACATTGTATAGATTTTTTTGCTTTATACAGTACATTATATCCTAAAGAGATTTGAAAACAATAAGAAAAAAATTAGTATTTGCAAAATTTATGTTGTATGTGACAGGTTTATTTTAATTTGATAGCATGCCAATGTATGAATGTATCATATTTTATACATTTAATTGCTGAAGGACATTTATGTTGTTTCTGGTTTTTCATAGTTATGAATAATGCCACTGTGAATATTCTTAAACATGTATCTTGATGCCCATGTGCCTGAGGAGATTTGAGGGGTCAAAGGTGTACATGTGTTTAGTTGCCCTAGGTGATGGCAAATTGTCTTCCAAAGAGGTGTTACCAGTCTACAACCTCACTAGTAGTAATGACAGTTTTCATTGTCATTTGCTAGGGAGATTGTTGAGATACATGTACAAATCTACCACATCTACATGATAGATGTTGTGCGGTTATACAGTGCATAACCTGAACATTTGTATGTGAGGGGCTGGAGGTCGAATATATTTCCATATGCTTATTTTTTGAAGTGACTGCTCAAGTCTTTTGTCTGTTTTACTATTAAGTCATCTGCCTGTTTCTCACTAATTTTTAGTTTTTCTTTATGTATTCTGGATCATAGTTCTTTGTTGGTTAAATTTATTGCAAATATCTGTCCCAAATCTCTGGCTTGCCTTTTTACTCTCTTGTGTCTTTTTCTTTTTCAAATTTTTATATCCTCACCTGAGGACATTTTTCATTGCTTCTAGAGAAAGAGGAAGGGAGAGAAACATCAATGTGAGAGAGAAACATCAATCAATTGCCTTTGGCATGTGCCCTGAATAGGGATCAAACCTGCAACCCAGGTATGTGTCCTGACTGGGAATCAAACATGCAACCCTTCAGTTACAGAATGGTGCTCCAACCAACTGAGCCACACTGGCCAGGGCTCTTGTGGTGTCTTTTGATTGAAGCTGTGTCTAGTACATAGGGTAACTTTACACAAATTACAAAAAGGCTCCCTCTCTGTTGGCTTTGCAAATGTAACATGGGCTAAATTTCATCTTCCACTGGCTTTTGTCAGATGCCTTTGTGCTGGTTACTACATAATCTACTACCTAGAAGTGGCAGCTCTACCTTTGATAACCAAATGTTCTGAAGTTTAATGTAATCAGATTTATCCCCTTTTTCCTTTATGTAGTCAAATTTATATAGTTTTTTCTTTCTTTTGTAATAAGGTTAGTGCTGCTTGTGTTTTCTTTAATAAAACTCTCATCTCTATGTCATGGAGATATGTTCCTTTATTACTTTGTAAAAGCTTTATGGTTTGGACTTCAACATCGAGATGTACCTTTCTTCAATATTTCAAGTAAATAGTTAACAATGTAATGCATACTATACATCACACATATAGCCTCTCCTGAGGTGTGATGATATGGAGCCCTCACCATGATATCAGCAAGTTCTTCTGGCTTAGTACATCATATTCACTTTGTCTTTGCTCTACATTTGCTGTTCTCTTAGGTATATGTGTGGCTTTGTGATTTTTGTAGCCTTCGATGAGGGGATTAAAGGGAAGGGGTCACACTGTAAAATATGCACACTTTTGCCATTTTGTCTTTCTCATCTTCCTTCTTGCTAGTAACTGAACACTTCTGACATTTTCCAAAGAGAATAGTTCCACCTACTTTTAACATTTTCTAACTTTTAATTTTGAAATAACTTCAGACTTTGAAAATGTTGAAACAACAGTACAAAAAATTCCTGTGTACATTTCACCAAGATTTACCAGTGTTAGCATCTTACATAACCATAGTAAAATTATCAAACTCAGGAACTTAATATTGACACACTACTACTATTAAATTTATAGATTATCCAATTTTCTGACAAATACTCAGCTAACATCCCTTTTATGACCTAGGATCCGATCCAGTACTGCATGTTTGTATTTAGTTTTCATGTCTCCCTTCCTTTAGTTTGGAACAGTTCTTCAGCCTTTCCTATCTTTCAGGACTTGAACACTTTGGAAGAGTACCAGTAAGTTGTTTGGTAGAACACCCCTCATTTTGGGGTGGTATTGTGTTTCCCTTCGATTAAATTCAGGTTATGCAGTTTTTTGCAAGCATATCACAGAAGTGATATTGTGTCCCTCTCATAATACCATTTCAGAATACACATGATATCACTTTGTGCCACTACTGGGGATGTTTTCATCTATCATTTGCTTAAGAGACTTCCAGGCTTCTCAATGGAAAGTTATTATTTTCCCTTGGTAATTAAGGACCTCCCAAGGGAATACTTTGAGACTTTTGCCCACTAATTTCAGCATACATTGATCATTCTTGATTGAAATGTTTATTACTGTGATGTTTGATCAATGGATATTTTCTACCTCTATTATTCCTTCTGCATTTATTAATTGAAGTTTTACTATAAAGAAGAACTTCCCCTTATCATCTATCCATCTGTCTGTCCATCTATCTAAATCAGCATGGACTTCTGGATTCATATTCTAAAGGTTATCACATATTATTATCTTTATTTGTTGCTCAAATTGTTACTGACTTGGCTACTAGAAGCCTCTTCATGTTGGTCCTGCTGTCCTTTTGACATGCCCCCATTATTTTTGAGCACTTCCTTACTTTGTGCTCAAATCCAGGGTCACCTTTTATTTTTCATACCCCAGTCCTAGAATCAGCCATTTCCTTGAGAAGCCCTAATTTCTTTTACTGGAGTAGTATTTGTTGGAATGGGCACGGTCTCCCTCACTGTTAATACCTCCTGCCTTCAAGCATTTGTCAATGTGTTTGTCAATCAATGACTTCCCTATTAAAATAATAATGTTTTCTCACTACCTTACTCTATTTTGAAAATACGGTTTCTTCCCTTTTAGAACTCATCTTCAAAAGTTAGAAAGACATTTATCCAATATATATTAAACCAATGTAATAAAAGGAGAAGACTAACTTTCATTGTAGACATAGGTGTATAAACCATTGTTTAGTCATTTTGTCAGTTACCTCTTATCATAAAATTACTGCATAGCAAACAGTCACAGAAACTCAATTTACATTTATTGTCAGCACTTATTGTTCACACACTCGGGATGGTTAGTTAGGTGGCTCTGCTGACTACTCTTGGGCTCGCTCACATGTTTAAGTGTTGGCTGGCTATCAGCTTATCTAGTTAACATTTGTGGGATGGCTGGGGCAGCTCAGCTCTGCTAAATGCATCTTTTGTTCCTCCAGCAGGCTAGCACAAGCATGTTCTCATGATTGTGGTAGAGCTGCAAAAACACAAGTGGAAATAGTGTCAAAGAAAAACTAGAGCAGAACAGTAGTTAAAGTGGTAAAAACAAATTTTATTCAGGACAGTTGCAATAAGGAAAAAGAGACCTTTGTATAGAACTGGGCTCAACTCCAAATACAGTAGAGGCAAGGGAGAATTTATAGCCAAGGAGCAGGGTGGGGGTCAATGGATGGAAAATTACTAAGAGGAAACATCAGGGATAAGGGGATCTGGTTAAACTAACCTAACAGGATTCATTGCTGAAGACAGCAATGAGATTGGCTGGGTGACCAGATCAACCTCAAAGCCAATGCCACAATTTTTAGATTTTTATTACACAGCACCCCACTCCTGGTACCAATTTGTGTATCTCTTACTTACTGCTCCTTGGCCTAGAATGACTTTTCTCCTCTCTACCTCCTTCCTCTCCAGTAAACACTGAATCTTATTCTTCAAATACAACTCAAATTCACCTTCTCTGTGAAGTTTTCTGTGGTCATGATTGCCCCTCCTCTATGTTCTCACAGAATTTTGTACCTAAAGCTATTATTGTAAAGATATTACATGTCTTTAGAGCTTGCTAAGCTGGGACCTCCTTCAGGATAGAGACCATCTTTTTCCTTTCTTTGCAATCATGGGGTTAGCATGATATATGCATAATAAATGTTTGAGGAATGAATGAGAGTGAATGAATCAATGAAAATCACATTCACCCCTGACTGGTGTGGCTCAGTGGATTGGGCATTGTCCAGCAAACTGAAAGGTCTCTGGTTTGATTACTGGTCAGGGCACATGCATGGGTTACAGGCCAGGTCCCATGTTGGGGACATGTGGGAGGCAACCGATTGATGTTTCTCTTGCACATTGATATTACTCTCCCTCTCTTTCTTCCTCCCTTTCCTTCTCTAAAAAATAAACAAATAATTAATTAAATTTAAAAAATCACATGCAGAAAGAAAAGGAGAAAATTTAGAAGCCAGAGACAGAAGCTGACTTTGCAGTTGGTTACTGTGCAACTCTGGGTAAGTAGATATTTTTCAGAAAATGGATAAAAGACTCTCAAAGATGAATGCATGTAGCCAAAGCCAAAATACAGCAGGGATGACTCACCGACACATTTACCCACTTGACTTTAAAAGTGATTATAGGACCTATAAGTTCTAGAGAATCAGGCAGGAAGTTCCCTATGTGAGGACAAGAATTAGCCCTTTCTAGTGGTCACCTGCATCTGTGCCCTTTGGAACAGAACTCCCAGGTGCTGCCTAATTTCCTTGGTCCTGGCCCCATAGATGATGGGGTTGACCAGACATGGGAGCAACAGGTAGAAGGCGCTGAGCAAGCTGTGCACATCCTGGGAGGCAGTGCGAGCCACGCGGTAGACGATGGATGAGGACATGGTGGAGGAGTACACAGTGAAGATGACCAGCAGATGGGAGCCACAGGTGTTCAGGGCCTTGGAACGTGCTCTGCCTGATGAAATTCGAAATGCAGCATGGATGATGTGGGAGTAGGAGGTTCCAAGTAGCAGCATGTCCAGGACTCTGTTCAAGAGGCGGATGGTGAGCCCCACAGTCTTGTTTAAGGAGATGTCCCCCCAGGAGAGTTTCATCAAGGCCATATGCTCACAGGCAAAATGGTGGATCACATCTGAGCAGCAGAAGTGAACCCGAGAGGCCAGTCCCACCACTGGAGCAACAATACCTGCGCTCCTGACAACTGCCACCCCAATGAGGCCAGCTAGCAACTGGCCTGTCACTATCTCAGGGTAGCGGAGTGGGTTGCAGATGGCAACATAGTGGTCCAGGGCCATGACCAGGAGAATATTGCAGTCAAAGACAATGAGGAAGTAGATGCAGAACATCTGGTCCAGACAGTGAGCCAGGGAGATGCAGTTGAAATGGGTGGAGAAGTTGAACAGCATGGCAGGCACCACAGTGGTGACAGCACAGATATTGACAGCCAGGAGCAGGGCAATGAGCAGGTACATGGGCTGGTGCAAGCTCCACTGGGCTGCCACTGTGTGGATGACCAGGGCGTTGGCGGAGACAATCAGTAGGTACAGGCTGAGGAAGGGCAGCACCAGGAGCGTGCGGGTCTTCTGCAGCCCCGGGAAGCCCACCAGGAGGAAGCTGGCGTAGGACAAATTGAAGCTGCCATTACTCCACGCTGGTATCTTCCCTGGGGAGCAGGATGGCTCTGGGAAGAAAAGAGGGGCAGGAGGCCTGGTTTCTGTACCTTGGCCCCTACCAGGGCCTGCCCCAGCTTTACCAGATGTTGATCGTCATGAGTCTCCAATATCTTAGGGGGAAAAATGGGAAGTTAAATGCAGTAATTTAATGAGAAATGTGTCTTTCATTAAATCTTTGCCTGTAAAGCCCTAAATGTAGATTTTGGGTATAGAATTGTTGGATCAAGTTATATGAATATTTTTTAGAGTGCCAAGTAGATTTGCAGGAAAGTTGTATCAATCTTGTCACTGAATCACTGGTGCTAGTATTAAATTGCCATGATTAAAAAAATTATTTTAGTAACTTGATGGTTGGAAAATATCACATTTTGATTTGCACGTTCTTTTTCTGAGAATTTTCTATTCATGTACTTTGCCCATATACTACTAGGGACTATGTGTTTCAGCAATTTTTTTATTTTTAAAATTTAGGGTTTTTTTTAAAGATTTTATTTATTTTTAGAGAGAGGCAAGGGAGGGAAACAGAGAAGGAAAGAAACAGCGATAGCTGCCTCAGTTGCCTCTCTCATGCTCCTAACTGGGGACTTGGCCTGCAACCCAGGCGTGTGCCCTGACTAGGAATCAAACGAGTGACCTTATGGTTCACAGGCCAGTGCTCAATCCACTGAGCCACACAAGCCAGGGCTCTCTCAGCAATTTAAATATTAAAATCATTACCCCTTTTTTATCCATTGAAACGGTTTCTTAAACCTTGTTACTATTTTTATTTTGTTTATGATATTATTAAGAGTAAGACTTTTACATTTATAAAATTAAGTTTACTGATATTACTTATTTTGAGTTCTTGTTTTTAAGCTTAGCAAATCCTTCTTCATTCAAAGATCAAAAAGATAGTATACTATGTTTTGTTCTTCTTTAAAATAAGGCCTAATTTTTTATGTTAAGTTTTGAGCCACATGAAATTCAGTTTGATATGTGACATAAAGTGATAATCTAAGTTAGATATTTCCCAAGTTGCTAAATTATTGTTTTTGTTCCATTTTCTCCACTGTTTTGTGCTACTGTCTTTATCCCAGATAAAGTTCTTATACGTGGTGTGGTCATTTTATCAGTAGTGATATTCTCTTTGTTCTCATGCCAATACCATTTCATTTTTGAAATAAAAGTTCTTCTAAGATATAATTCACATACTATACAGTTTACCCATTTAAAGTATACCATTCAATGTTTTTTTTAGTAAATACACAGAATTGTACAACCATCATCACAATCAACATTGTCGTCACCCCAAATAGAATTTCTGCACCCATTCATAGCAGCTCCCACTTCCCCCTGTCCCCTCAGCACTAGGCTGCCGACCACTAATCTACTTTCTGTGTCAGTGGAGTTGCCTACTTTAGACACTTCATGTAAATGGAATCATAAAATATATGGTCATTTATGGCTGGCTTCTTTAACTTAGCATAATGTTTTTAAGGTTCATCCATATTATAACATTTATCAGTATGTCATTCTTTTTTAATGGCTGAATAATATTCCATTATATAGATATACAACATTTTAATGATCCACTCATCAGATGATTGACATGTGAGTTGTTTCTACTTTTTGGCTATTATAAATAATGCTGCTCTGAACACTCATGTACCAATTTTTGTGTGAATGTTTTCATTACCTAGGATACATATACAGGAGTGAAATTCCTGGATACATAGGAACTCTATGTTTAACTCTTTGAGAAACTACTGGATTGTTTTCCAGAACAGCTGTACCATTTTACATTCTCACCATTAATGTGTGAGAGTTCCAATTTTTCTACATTCTTGCCAACACATGTTGTCTATCTTTTTATTCTAGCCATTATAGTCATTTTGATTTGTATTTTTATGAGAGCTAATGATGTTATGTGCATATGTGCATATTGGCATTTTTTTTGAGAAATGTCTCTTTAAATCCTTTGCCCATTTTTAATTCAGCTGTCTTTTATTATTGAGTTGTAAGAGAGTGCTGTACAATTTTATTCACCATAGATTTGTAATGACACTTAGCTCTACAAATGCTTCTGTTAAAAAAACTTTTTTGTTATTCTCAAGTTTTATTCTTCCAACCATTAGAATCATTTTGCCAAATTTCAAAAATAATTCCATTGTGATTTTTATTCATTGAGATTTCATTAAACCTGTAAAATAATCTGTGGAGAATTCATATCTTGACAACATTCAGTCTTTCTGTGCAGTATCAGGGTATGGTGCTCTAAGTTTTCAAATCTTGATTTATCTCTCTCAGGAGTCTTTTAGTTTTATTTGTATAGGTCTGTGACAGTAGGCACTCTGTTCATCTGGCTCATGTTTATATTCCAGGAACCTAATACAGAACCTGACATATAGAGACACTCAGTATTTGTAGAAAAATTAATAGGTCTCTCACATTTCTTTTGTTAAATTTACTCCTAGATATTTTTCTATTTATTGCCATTGAGAATACAATAATTTTCTATCATATATTTGAGTTGGCAGCCATCTTATACGGGAAAGTTACTGATTTTCTACATTTATCATCTATCCTGACACTTACAAAATTTCCTTATTAATAGAAAAAATTTCAGTTGATTTTATTGGGTGTTCAAAGGAGAATTATCCTTTCTCTTCTTTTTCCTTTTAAAAAGTAATAAGTAGACTTCTGTATCTGGTTTGTATCTTATTTTACAAACCAGAACTTGCAGAACAATGCTAAAGAGTGGTAAGAAAAGGTATATTTATTTTTTTCTTAATTTTATTAGAACTTTTGTTCCTCTATTAAGTATATGTTGCTTGTTGGTTTGAGATAGATATTCTTTTTCATGTTAATGAAATATTCTCCTGTTACCAATTTTTAATAATGAAAAATATGAGGAATTTTTGTTTAATGTTTTCAAATGCTTTTTTGGCATCAGCCTAAATGGACCAATATTTTTAAAATATGACCTGTTGACAAACAGATTTATTACATATCGTTATACTTTTAAATTCTGCTGAAAATGGTTTGCTTCTATTAATAGATCCATACATTTCTTTTTTGAAAATAACTTTATGAAGTTTTGGTATCACAATTATACCAGCTTCATAATGAATCAACTCCATTCACTTTTTAAATTCTATTTTCTAGAATAGTTTTTATAGGACAGGAATCTCATCCCTTGAAAGTTTTGGATAAACTCAACAATATAACAACATGTGCACAGACCTTGTTTGGGTGATAATTAATTGGTAAGGCTTTCTGATTTCTTTCACGGCAATTAATCTACTCAGGTTTTAAATCCCTTCTTAAGTAAACTTGGTAAATTACATCTTCCTGGTAATTTGCACATTTCATAAAGAATTTTAAACTTACCAGCATAGATTCATACAGGGTGATTTGCATCTCAATACAGCAATTAAATACCTTAACCTAAAGAATGAACCGAAGTTGGTGACATTGTTGAATCATGCTCCAACTATCTCATTTCAACTCACTCTAGGGAGTAAGAATGATAGTCCTTTAGGGCATGTGTAAAACCACATATACACACTTATTACAATGCTCAGTGACACACTCTGGGATCCATGAACACACCCGCTTCTGGACAAATGGGTCTACTACAGACTGAATCCCAAACAAAAATGTGGTGCCTCTCCTCATTTCTCCAACATCAAAAACTCAGAAGATGAAGGATTAGGGCTTTAAAATCATAGGTTATCATAGAGGGAAGATATTCTGTGTGCATACAAAGTGGCAACTGCCAACTTCCCAGTATTTAGATAGCAGTGATCCCTAACTGTCCAGCCCCTGGGCAGATGGGTGCCTCCTCGCATCCCCTTCTGGGCCTCTGTGACCATGCAAAAACTGAGAAATCACAAGTTCACAGCCATGGACAGCAGAGGACCGCAGAAGACCACAGAGGTCATCTTGTGCGGCTCCTTCCTGATACGAAGGTCCCCACCTGCACAGCTGTACAGGTTGCCCACCAGTTCCACGAGCAGGTGGCTTTACCTGAACAGCTTTTCTTCCTTAGATCTGCCATCTCTTTTCACATAGTGTCATCCCTGTGGCCCCAGCTCTGTTCTCTGGTAACTCTGAGAAATAGTCTTCTGAGGGTTGTTTTGATAGCAAGGAGCAGGAGGAAAGCTAACACTTTTCTGAGGACCTACCATGCTCTGGGCTCTGTGGACTATCAGTACTTTCACATATAGTTCCCTCCTTTTTTAGTAGCCCTAGTGTCTCTGTTAGGTAGGTATTACAACTGAGAGTCCAACATATGAAATCATCCTTTATTTGTCCATTTATTTGTTCATGCAACATATGTTTAAATTTATCATGTACCAGGCACTCTGCTATGCACTGGGACTTCATGGTGCATTAGGTGTGGTTTTAGTACCCAAGGTACTTAGAGTCCAGTAGGGAGGGCCAGAGTGCCATGGAGCTCCAGGGACATCTCCAACTCAGCCTCTGGGATCCTGAAGGCTCCTCAGAGGGAAGGAGGTCTAATCTGAGGGTCTAAGTTTGAGTCAGCCACAGGAAGGGAAGATGGGGTGCAAGTAGTCTAATGACATAAAGCCAAGAATTGATGGAGATGGGCTTAGAACGTCAAAGGCAAGGTCCTTCTCACTGTTACCCCACCTCAAGAAAGACACCTGGGCTTGGTGCAAGTCCCATGAAAGAAAATTAATGAGAAAAAACAAGAAGAGAGAGTGGAAATGAACTAAACTTTTGCTTATTTTTCACTGTTGATGAGACTCGGTTTCAAAAAGGAAGGATATAGGCGAAGCCTAGAATAGGATTTCCTTCCAAGAAGACCTGTAGCAGGGAGATGGAGTCATTGGTATGGACTGAGAGACAGAGAGGGAATGACGGGCAGGTGTGGAGGCCAAGTTATCCTCCTTCCTTGTGCCCATCCTACTCATCCCCTACTCCTGCGATGGCCTCCCTGACAAGAGACTCCTTTCAGCCCCCGCCGCCCTCCTGGCAGCCCCCCATCCAGAACTCATACTCACTGTCAGGCGATAGCAGAGAGAACAAGTAGGGTTCCCTCAGTGCATTAAATGCATCCCTCTTCCTCCTCCAGAGAGCCCAGGCTCCAGGTGAGCCAATGGGCAGTGCCCTGTGTCTACTCGATCTCCTAGGACATCCACAAGATAGCCTAGAGCCCAGTCTCCTGACATCTAGGCCAGCCCCTTCCTACTGGTTGGGGGTGCCCAAGGTCTCTGTTTGGGAGCAAAAGGGGAATAACTCAACAAAAACAGAGGAATTCAGACCTCACATCCCAAACTCAGGCTGTATCCCAGCCCAGGGGTGGCTCTGCCAAAGGAGTGTTGGGGAGTGGAGTGCAGGGTGTTGGTCAGCCCAGCAGGCAGACTCTAGATGTCAGTAATGAGCAATAAAGCATTCCAAGGAGGTGAAACTTGTGCTGAGCACATGCTATGGGGAGATTTTTTGAAGGATCAGGGATACTTATATGATGTTAACGGAAGAGAGGGAGAAATGATAGAAGCACGAGAATGAAGCTGTGTGAGGGCCTGTTGAAGTGACAATAGGAATACCCCATTTTACAAGTGGGCCATCTAGAAACTTTAGGTGACTCATCTGAGGTCACTCATCAGATCTGCGGCAATGTGGGGATGGGTCATCTGATCCAAATCTGGCTCTACCCACTTCACCCTTGTCTCTTGTCACTGCTGTAGACCCAGTGGAGGAGCCCATGGAGATCAGGGAAAGCTTCATGGAGGAGTGGACATTTGAGCCAGGCCTGGGGGGTGTAGAAAGAGCCACAGAGGCAGAGGCTTGATATGAGGAGTAGGAACGGCAATGATGGTGGGCATGAGGCTGCACAGTTGGTCCCAAAGCCTTGGGGGTGAGGGGGAGGGTAGGAACCAATCAAGACTGTGACATTTGGAGCCCAGGACACCCCACCCTCCCTCTAGGACATCTGCTTAGGTTTGCTTCAGCCCTACTGGGTTGAAGTGACAGAAGGTGGCCATTGGGCAACCAGGGCTGGAGGGTCTCAGAGGCATCGGGAGCTTTCCAAAACTTGCTCACTCCCCAGGCTCAGGTGTGAGGTGTGCCAAGGGGAGGGACTTCCTCACAGTAGGCTGAGCGTACTTCATCTACCCCCTAACTCCCTGGGCCGAGGGCAGCCCTGGCAACACTGCCCTTCTCCCGGGGCTCCTAGGACCCCCCAGTTTGTCCATGGCCCTCCCACAGGGTGGGGCCTAGGCCTGAAGGCAGAAACCCCAGCAGGGATGGTTTCCCCAGGACTGTGCGGCTCTTGCTGGACACAGCATTCAGTCTGTTCACGCTGTGATCAATGCAGACCTCTGAGAACTGTTCACTTGCTGTTCCAAAGCCCCCATATTAGTTTCCTAGGGTTTCCATACAAATTGCCACCATCTGGGTGTCTTTAAAGAACAGAAATTTATTGTCTCACCGTTCTGGATGCTAGAGTCTGAAATCCAGGCGTCAGCTGGGCCACGCCCCCTGCGAAGACTCTGGAGGAACATCCAGCCTTGCATCTTCCAACTTCTGGTGGTCTGTGCTGCATAACCCCAATTTCTGCTTCTGCCTTCACATGCCTTCTCTTCTGTCCCTTATAAGTTCGTTTGTCCTTGAATTCAGGGCCCACCTGGGTAATCTGGATGATCTCGTATGAAGATCTGTAATTTAATTACATCTCAAAGACTTTCTTCCCACAGAGGCCGCATTCACAGGTTTTAGAGGTTAGCTCCTAGAGAAACTGTTTTGGAGCTACCATCCAGCCCACTGCAGCCTTGATATGTGAAGTTCAAAACAATGAGAGGGGGACAGTGAGGGTGGCCCTGGCCTGAGCAGGCTTTGGTGTAGAGGGTGAGAGATGAGGGTGTGTGTGAGGCGTCATGATGGGGGAGGTGAGGGGTTACTCTGAGGAGCCCGTCTGGTCTGGGGCATAAAGCCCTTGGCTCCAGAGTTCACTCAGAAGTGTGGAAACTCAGCCCTGCGTGTGGGGTGTGGCTAAGCCAGAAAGCCGTCCTGGAGAAGGTGAGAGTCCAGCCTTGCCTTAGAAGAGCAGCCACTGTGGAAAACAGTATGGAATTTCCTCAAAAAACTAAAAATGGAACTGCCTTTTGACCCAGCAACTCCACTGCTGGGAATATACCCTAAGAATCCTGAAACACCGAGACTGGAGCGGCCGCCGGCGATGCCTGACGTGGTGTGAGGAGCCGCAGCGGCGCGATGGAGCGGGCCAGGGACCGCTTACACTTGAGAAGGACCACGGAACAGCACGTACCCAAGGTGGAAGTCCAGGTCAAACGTAGGAGGACGGCCTCCCTGAGCAACCAAGAGTGTCAGCTGTACCCCCGGCGCTCCCAGCAGCAGCAAGCACCTGTGGCGGACTTCCAGGCGGAACTGAGGCAGGCTTTCCTAGCTGAGACACCCAGAGGTGGTTAAAGCAGCCTTGGGACATCCCAGGTAGCTGATACAAGCGAAAAACCAGGTTAGAGCTGACGCAGCCGTGATCAGGAGAACAGAAATCCTTAAAGAATGAGGTTTTCTGGAGGTCACTTAATTATTGAGGCTAAGTGAAAAGACGCTGTTTCCTTTAAGAGCTTCATCCCAAAAGTTCCTTGCAGGAATCTAGAAAAGTAAAAGCAGTACCTTAGTGCTCTTGCACTGACATTTTTGTCATGTTTCTGTATTCCATTTCACTGTGGTGCATGCTTTTTTAGGTAGTTTTCATATTTAATTTATATTGATTTCAACTTCATACGAAAAATCATTATAAATGGCTGCTAAATATCCTGCTAATGAATGTTTTAGAATTTTTTTGGTAAGAGACTTTATTTTTTCTGCTGATCGCAGAAAATTGCATTGCATAAAACAATTATTTCCTCAGATGTCCAGATGTGCAAATAAATCAAGAAATATGAGCTTAAAAAAAATAAAAAAGAATCCTGAAACACCAGTTCAAAAGAACCTATGCTCCCCTATGTTCATAGCAGTGCAATTACGATAGCCAAGTGCTAGAAGCAACCTAAGTGCCCATCAGTAAATGAGTGGATCAAAAAGCTGTGGTACATTTACACAATGGAATACTACACGGCAGAAAGAAAGAAGGCACTCCTACCCTTGGCGACATCATGGATGGAACTGGAGAACATTATGTTAAGTGAAATAAGTAAGCCAGGGGGTGAAAGACTAATATCATATGATCTCACCTATAAGTGGAACCTAATCAATAAAACAAACAAGCAAGTAAAATACAACCAGCCATGCTGAAATAAAGAACAAACTGACAGTAACCAGAGGGGTGGGGAGAGGGCAATAACAGGGGAAAGAGAGGGAAAGGTTGTCAGGGAACATGTATAAAGGACCCGTGGACAAAGCCAACGGGGGTGGGGTGGGGTGGCGGTAGGCTTGAATGTAGGAGGGGGGGATGGGTGGGGTGGGGGACAGTGGTGGGGGAAAATTGGGACAACTGAAGTTGAACAGTAAAAAAAAAGGGGGAAAAAAGAGACCAGCTGAGAGGAATGGAGTGAGCAGTACAGGCTGAATTAGCTCTCAAGGGTCCTTTTCACGCCTGGAGCCCCGAGCCGTGGCTTCATTCAGGCCCAGGGCTTTCCAATGTGTGAATGGCCTCCCCCACCCCCAAGACCAGGACACTCTCCTGGAGGGGCAACAGTCAGTAACAGGCTGAGATGTGTCAGCAGAGAGAGGAGGGAGTCCTGCGGACCTTGGGGATGCCGCTGAGGCCCTGCAGACTGCCACCAGGACTCCACACAAGGGGTAACCGGGGAGGTGAGACATGAGGTGGGCACATGCATCTCAAATGCAACATGGTCACCACTGACCATACTGCCACGCCGCCCTCCTACTACACTGTTGGTTCCTCCTCTAGATGCCCTTTCTCAGGGAGTCCAGCCCACTGCCTGAGCCAGGTTACACCCTCTTCCTCCCTCTACCTCATCTCGTCTGGCACCAAGTCCTGCCAATCCTACCTCCATAGGAGTCTCCGGTCTGGCTCCTGAAGCCTTAGTCCTGGGTCACCTCTAGGCCTTATCCCGGGCACAGCCCCCTCACCCCCATTCCCTTTGCTGCCAGAAGGATCCTTTGGGAAAGCAGACCTGACCTTGTTACTACTAGTAAAGCCCTGCAGAGGTTCCCCACTGCCAATCACCTGAAGGCCAGGTTCCTTCACTGGCATTCAAAACTCTTACCTCCCTCCCCTCCCTGAGGGGCAGCGCCCTCCAGCAGGGCTAGGACTGCTTGCACCTTGCCATCCATTCCTCTGCCTCACCTGTCCTTTCTTCCCTCAGCGTCACCTGGCTGCTACCTGGGCTTGCCTGCAGGGGTGTGCAACCTGTGGCCTGTGGGCCACACGTGGCTCAGGATGGCTGTGATTGTGACCCAATACAAAACTCAAAACTTACTTAAAACATTATGAGATTTTTTTTTGTGGTTAGGTGTCACAATGTATTTAATATGCGTCCCAGACAATTCTTCTTCCAGTGTGGCCCAGAGACACCAAAACGTTGGACACTCCTGCCTAGGGCTCCAGGTACCACCTGCTGTTGGAAGACCCCCCTGGCTGTATTTGCCCCAGCTGCTCTGAGCTGCTGCAGCAAGAGGAGTCTCTGAGCCCAGGTTCCACATTGTGTCCCACTGCAGAGGGCACCGGGGTCACCCCGCTGGCCTGGGAACATCCTGGTAGCCTCCCCCCAACTCCCGGAACTCTGGGGGTGGTCTACTTGTCCACAGTCTCTCCTCCCTTCCCTCCATCTTGGCCCCCATGGCACCCTAACCTAAACTTTCCAAATATTTCTCTCCCCATCAAGGATGGTCAGGATTACCCACATCAGAGTCTGCTGTCCCATGAGATCCGAAGCTCCCTCACATTGATGTATAAAAGCCTGCCTCCCCCTCAGGTCCAGTGCTGCTCCAAGAACAAATTATTTGGCTCTGGGGGCTCTTTGGTCTCTGAGGGAAGCTTTTGGAGCAGCCTGTCCTTTCTTATCCATGTCTGGGCTGGATTATCACCTGGGATCTGTGGACTGACAGTTTTCTGGCTGCAGGGCTGACAGGCTTCCTCCTGAGGCTGCCTGGCCAGGCCAGGTGCAGCCTACACTGCCCAGATTAGCCACAAGGTGGCACCCAAGCACCATGTTGGGCAGAGGCTTCCTCAGGGACTGTGCCTGGGGAAAAAGGAAAACCATTCTTGGCTTGGCTACTTAGTTGGAAACTCTTCAACCTTGGACTTTCTGTTGTGATGCCCCCACTTCCCCTCGTACCGTGAGCCTGAGTCAGTCATAACATACTGGTGTCAGGGCCTGGGGCAAGAGACCTGGCTCTGTGTGATGCTGGCAAGTTGCTTCCCCTCTTGAGTCTCAGTGTGCTCCCTTGAACAATGGGTATAACACCAACCCCATTTTCATTAACTCATTCATTCAGCGCGTATTTATTGAGCACCTAGTCGGCTATGTCTAATATATAGCTGTGAACAAGCAAAGCCTCACAGGGATGCTGTGAAGACCAAATGACATAATGTCTGTGCCTAATTTAGCAGTTACTAACATACAGTGTAGAATCTATAAATATTAGATTTTCTCTCTAATCCTCACAATAATGCTATTTGGTTGGCCCTAGCCAATTTTATGGAGGATGGAACAGGTAAAGGCCACATACTTGACCAAGGCTGTGCAGTCAGGAATTCGCAGTGCTGGGACTTGAACTTGGGTCATCTGATTCTAAACCCCATTGCTGCTGTTCCCACATTGTGTGTGTGTGTGTGTGTGTGTGTGTGTGTGTGTGTGTGTGTGTGTGTGTGTTTCTATCTTCTCTGAGCTCTCTCCAAATCTTCCCCAGAGGGTCTTGGGCCAACCTGGGTTACTTCTTCAGACACCCATTCAGATTTTTAACCTCCTCCCTCCTCTAGGGTCCCCAACTCCTCCTGCAGGTTTGCTTATTTCTGGCAGGTGAAGTGGGTGGTCACCAATGATTCTGGGGTCCTAGGAGGTCTGAGACCCAGCTTCCTTCTTCCACCACTGCAGGTCAAGGCCTGCCTGGGAAGGGAGCTATCTGGCGCCAGCCCCATAATGATTACCCCTCACAGAGCTGGGACCACTGAGCTCAGACCTTTCCTAAGGAGTGGACAACAACTGAGAATTTCTCTCTCAGAGAGATCGTGGGGCCCCATCTAATTGGAAGGTGGCTGTGGTCTTAAAGCTGTGTGTCTATAGCAAAGTGTTTCTGCATAGGTTGTGGGTTTATTTGGGAGCAAAGAAAGCCAAAGAGAGAGAGGGCTCACAGTTTACATGTCGGAGCAGGGAGAAGTGGGGAGGCATCTGTTACCCTCCACTCCCTCCACATGCCCCTGTGCTGTGCGTTCTTTCTGTGTGTATTTTGAACATCTGCTTTCTTACCCATCCTCAGGTGTGAGTTCCCTGGGAAGAGGCAGGGCCTGCCTGCCATGTCTCACCGGCCCCCTGGCTAGGCGTCCAGCCCCAGCATAACAGTGATGCTGTGGGGCAAGTGACTGAAG